TAAACTCTAAGCCTGGAAATAATTAGGGTATTCTAATAGTGTACCTTAATACTGTCTGTTTAGACCTTTATTTGTAATGATTTTCAATGATTAAGCCTCTTTTAGATGGTTTAAATAAACAGAGAGTCAGCTCGGAATATGTCATACATCAAACTAATCTATGAAATCATAGCTTGTTCATGTTGATTATTTTGGGCAATCTTGCATATTTTGCTTTAATATTTCAGAATTATTTACTTCATTTAATGTGGATTTTGTTGTGAACATTTAATGATAATCTGTTTATAAAGTAAAAAAACTACAGCATTTTACAACACATGCCCCATGTGGCCACCACTCCAGCCAACGAAGCTGTTGATGACTCTCCTACACATACCAACATGGATTGCAAAGCTTCTGATGAAGCTATCCACTTAAAATTGAAGAACATCTGAGAATTTGTCTGACACTAGTTTTACTTCTCTAGATAGATTTCAGTCACGCCATGGACAATTGAACAACTTCCTTCACCAGATTTGATTGTGCATGTAGAGGAGAGGTGGCCACATTGGACATATGTTGTAAAGTGCTGTAGTTTTTGACTCCACAGGCAGATTATCATGAAACTTTCACAACAAAATTCATATTGAATGAACTGAATAATTCTGAAGTTTTGAGGCAGAATATGCAGGATTAACAAAGTTAACTAACTTTTCTTCGGTCCTGTTTTTTTTGACACCCTGTACCAGTAGAATGATACTAGGCTAAGACTGGCTAATGGTATACTTGAATTTAATCGATTGCAGACCTATGATTTAAGAATGAATTTTCAATGATAACACCTAAGATTGTTCAAACCACCAGAAAGCCAAGCCAGGATATATCATACACTATTTGTCTAAGCTAGAAAACTAATATTGGTACAAATATGTTCATAAATAAGAAATTATAGGGGTCTTCCAAGGGTATACCTATAACTTATCAATTTTAGACATCATATTTCATGAATTTTTAATATTTGAACATGCTAGAAAGCTTAAATCTTCCTAAAACTTAGCTAAAATAAGTTTTATATTTTAGATTTATTCTAAAATGCCAAATATATGAACACAGAGGGATAAATGTTAAAGCAATAGGGGTCAGTTATAGTCACACATAAAATCAGTCCCAGCTAAAATGTCATTTTTTCTTAAATTCACTAATTTTTTTCAAGGCAATTGTCAAAGGAATTACTTTGATTCTTGCAGGATTAGTAGACCAGGTATTAAGCCTTTTACATGGATTTTTTTAGCATCCAACATTGTCTAATAAAAAAGTTATGACTCGAAAAGTAAAAAATGGGTCATAAATTTGCCCCCTGGGGTACATACTTTTTGCTTTTATTCAGATTTCTTAAGTGTAATCCGTATCATTCATACTTTAAATGTTTATTTTATACAATGTCTATGTATTTCACTTATAAAAACCATAAAATCAAAGTTATTTTAGGTTGAAGAATTTTTTCCTCCTGATAGGGGAGAATTTTGGGGGTAGGGGGACTAACATGGTATTTTAAGGGTTAAATAATCATATTTCAGCTTGCCAACATGGTTTTTTGGATTCAGCATAAAAAGTTACATAAGAAACACTTGTCAGAACACTTTTAACACTAAACGCCTACCACATTTCCTCTAGATGAAAATGCACCTTGTCTATTATTACAGAGAGACTCTCAGTTTGATTAGAGTCTACTATAAAGGAAGCATCCTATGTAATTTAATTATTTCATACCCAGAACTTGATAAATAATTTGCCAAAGAAAATCTCCCAGATTTTCCTCCAGCTTTTTCAAAGTTTAGAGTTTTGAAAAATAAGCCCTGTTTTTGGTTTTTATTTTTTAATCATTAACACTTATTATTTAAACTGAAAACACTTTTCAGTACAAATGCTCTGCCCTAGTGAATACAGTAAAACCATGGACTTTCAATCTATTCAATGCCCATGGTAAAACAAACTAAATAAAAATGAAATAAAATAAAATAAAAAAAATCTCAAAATATTATTTGCAGTTTCATATACTTGCTATTTGAGATTTCTCAGCACTTATTGAAGTAATTGAATAAAGAAATAAACCCTCAAAAATCTGAAAACACTTTTATTTAAATTTTTACTACCCCCCCCCCCCCCCCTCTGCATGAAATAGAGAATAAAAATAAATATATAGTAATATAGTATAACACAAGATGAAAATAGATATAACAGAAACTAGGACTATGAACCCTTTTTCTGGTCAAGCATTTTAATTAGCCGTTCAACCGTTTTAATTAGCTGTTCAACCGTTTTAATTAGCTGTTCAACCGTTTTAATTGGCTGTTCAAGCATTCTGATTTGCCTAAACCAATGAGAATATCAATATGTAGTAGGTATTGTTGTGTTGAGCATTGTTATAAAAAATATTTGCCAAGAAAGAACATGGTAATTAAATCTGTTGTGAATAATGTGTTTCACACATAATATACAGTCAATATCAAAATAGTTCTCTTAGTGAGTCATACTCTTGATATTAGGTGTTAACTACACATATATGGAAACATTTGAAGACCCATTTTGCTGAGGGGGGCTGGCTGCTGGCCTGTTCATTGTACATAAACTTTTGTGGGGGTCCTAAGCTAAACCCTCCGATATCAATATGTTCCCATACAAATCTATTTATATATCGTGGGTGTAGCAATAATTCATCTACCTCGACAAAATTTTACTGAAATTATTAATTCAGATGTTTTCCAATTGAAACTGTAAAAATTAAGTCTTTGCTGCCTGAATGCATTATTACTATAAAAACATTTTCACTAAATAAAGCAATCAACTTGTGATTACATATGTTTGCATTATTTTGTACATTATATCCTGCTTCTTTTGATCATATATCAGTCTAATCATGAACAAAAACCATTGTGTCTCATCTTGTGATTTTGTTAAGTTTAAAGGAAATCTTAAGATTTTCCTTGGTCAATTTCTTAACAAAATTGGAATTTCGCTAAATTCTTTTCATAATTAACATTAAAGATACATCATTTTGGCAATATCAGATAAAGGGAAATAAACACTAGATATGGTACTTTTAATTGTGTTATTAATGTAAATGACAGGGAACATAAATTATCATATGCCATTGAGTGGAAAACTAGTCTGGTATCGCATTCATAAATCCGTACTGGAGAAAGAAACATATGAACATGAATTTAGTAATTTACTATAATAAACATGCATGTATGCTTGCAGAAAAAATATCCTAATATACTGTTGTTGAATAGAGGTAGATTCAAATCCTTACTTAAAGATAATTTTAATTCAGGTAAAATGATTATTTTATTGGAATGATACTAATTCAGGATGGTTGCAGGGGTTGAACTATGTAATCATTGAACAAAACATATTGCAACCGTTTACATTTCAATGTGAAATGGTTGCAGTTTACAATGGTTGCAGATTACAATGATTGTATAGAAATGGTTGCGCAGTCGTTGAAAAAGAGTTGACTTTGCTTGGTTGAACGCAATGGTTGCACAATGATTGCTTATCATTGTACAATGGTTTTTCCTTTGATCTTAGTAGTTGAAACAATCAGTATTCAATGATTGATGGAAATGGTTTAAATTCGGACTTTCAAGGTTGAATTTTTTATAAGGGTATATAGATACGGACGGACGGACCAACGGACGGACGCCTGGTTGATCCCATAGGCTCACTGTGTGAGCCAAAAACAACTACATGTACCTTTAAAAGTGACTTCAGGTCAACAACATTTACAAAAAATGTCATCATTGTATATAGAACAGACTACTTTTGCAGAAAAACAACTACATGTACCTAATAACAGTGACTTCAGGTCAACAACATTTACAAAAATAATGTCATCATTGCATATTGAACAGACTACTTTTGCAGAAAAACAACTACATGTACCTTTAACAGTGACTTCAGGTCAACAACATTTACAAAAACATTGTCATCATTGCATATTGAACAGACTACTTTTGCAGAAAAACAACTACATGTACCTTTAACAGTGACTTCAGGTCAACAACATCTACAAAAACATTGTCATCGGTGCATATTGAACAGACTACTTTTGCAGAAAAACAACTACATGTACCTTTAACAGTGACTTCAGGTCAACAACATTTACAAAAACATTGTCATCGTTGCATATTGAACAGACTACTTTTGCAGAAAAACAACTACATGTACCTTTAACAATGACTTCAGGTCAACAACATTTACAAAAACATTGTCATCGTTGCATATTGAACAGACTACTTTTGCAGAAAAACAACTACATGTACCTTTAACAGTGACTTCAGGTCAACAACATTTACAAAAACATTGCCATTGTTGCATATTGAACAGACTACTTTTGCAGAAAAACAACTATATGTACCTTTAACAATGACTTCAGGTCAACAACATTTACAAAAAAATGTCATCATTGCATATTGAACAGACTACTTTTGCAGAAAAACAACTACATGTACCTTTAACAGTGACTTCAGGTCAACAACATTTACAAAAACAATGGAGTAGAATACACAGAGTAAAGTACAATTCTACTAATGTATCATACTTAGTATATCAATCTTGAATTGGAATGGTGCCAAACTGATCATCGTATAGTACAACAACAGTTGTTATTTATCATTGTATCCCATATAATGACCAAATTCCATAAATATCTTTAACCAGTTACATAACCTTACAAAATGTTACTTTGTTTATTTCTTAGAAATGATTTTAAATGACTGTTGTTTAAATGTGATTTAATATCAATGTAATAAAATGGTATCCAATACAGCAGATATATCAAACTGTTACACATGAATTTTAATGACACATTTATCCTCTATATTATCAATGGTGTTAAATTCTGAGAGGGTGTTAAAGTGAAGATTAAGAACAGGGGTGAATCATTAGAGACTTTACGAGGTAAAAAATGCATTTCAAAAGTTGTTATGAATACTTTTTAATTTACTTACTATAGTCAACTTAATTTGGTGTTTGGTGCAAAAATCATGTCTAATTTTTCAGAAATACCCGAGATATGTTTTCATCCAGTTTAAATTCATGTAGGACCATTTTGATGTTAGAAATTCATAATAAAATAGCACTAATTTGTAAGTAGAGCTTATTTATTAATTTGAATTAACTTTGGCTTTAGTGATTGATTTTACTGTGCTAACACTATCATTGCCCATCAAAGTAAAACAAATTGAAATGCATCTAGCTTCAATTTTATTTGCCACATTCAGAACTTTGGCTCACTCTTGTCAAATTCACCAATTTCACAGTTATTGATCCCTAAGCTACTGAATTCGCCAAATTAAATCTATACAAAGTTTTCTATTTTGCCCGATTTTAAAATTAAATTGTGGCAAATTAAGTTGACTAACAGTATGAAGTTATGAATGCCGTGGGTAAGGTCAATACCATAATTTTATTGAATTTTTTTGAGATTATGCTTTGAAAAAGTACAATGCAATTTGGTTTTAAGTTTTGCCTTGCATTTATAAATTTGCAGACCACCAAACACCAAATGCAAATGTGGACTGAACACTGCCATGAAAAAGTTGGAGATTATTACAATATGTTACAACTTCCAAAAATCACAAGGTCCTAAAAACCTAATGACGGACCCCAAAATACTAGAACAAAGTGTCATTGGACCCAAAATACTATAACACAGACCATTAATATTGACATAAAGTAGAACCACTTTACAAACCAAACAAAAACAGTGATGGACGAAAAACGAATGAAACAATTTGGCTTTAAAATCATTAATGGATGCTTATTTCATAGCCAGGCACATTTTGACACGCTGGAAAAGATTCACACTTTACCAATGAGAGAGGATGATATCGTCATCAGTTCTTATCCAAGATCAGGTATGCCTTTTATAGAGTACATGTATTTAAGGTGAGTCTGTATGTTCGGAATTTTGATGCATTCTTCAATAGAGTCACATGCTATTTTTCAAATATCAATTACTCCTTCCCAACATTTTCTACATCTTTCAGTTTTGCACAAAGAGTGCACTGATGTACCTAGAAAAGAGTGTAAAGAATATTTTTTTCATAAAATTTATAAAAAATGAGAAAATTCAGTGACCTACTGTCAGTGCAACAACAATACTACCAAATAACAATACAACCCAAGTATATATACTTTGTTGAAGTTGAAAGTTCTCTTTTAAAGAAACAAACTTGAAATTATTAAGCAATCTTGAAAGTATTGAAGTAGTGCACCAGTAATCTTATTTATTTCAGGGATACATTGTATATGCTCCAAGGTACATCTTATCCTTCACTACAGAAGTAATATTATTTATTTCAGCGACACATTGGGTAGGTTCCATGGTACATCTCATCCTTCACTACAGCAGTAATATTATTTATTTCAGCGACACATTGGGTAGGCTCCATGGTACATCTTATCCTTCACTACAGCAGTAATATTATTTATTTCAGCGACACATTGGGTAGACTCCATGGTACATCTTATCCTTCACTACAGCAGTAATATTATTTTATTTCAGGGACACATTTGGTAGACTCCATGGTACAACTTATCCTTCACTACAGAAGTAATCTTATTTATTTCGGGGACATATTTGGTAGGATCCATGGAACATCTTATATTTCACTGTATCTTATTCATTTTAGGGACACATTGTGTAGGCTTAGTGGTACATCTTATCAATCACTACAGAAGTAATCATATTTATTTCAGGGACATTATTTGGTAGGCTCCATCTTCACTACAGTAGTAATCTTATTTATTTCAGGGATACATTGTATATGCTCCAAGGTACATCTTATCCTTCACTACAGAAGTAATATTATTTATTTCAGGGACATTATTTGGTAGGCTCCATCTTCACTACAGTAGTAATATTATTTATTTCAGGGATACATTGTATATGCTCCAAGGTACATCTTATCCTTCACTACAGAAGTAATATTATTTATTTCAGGGACATTATTTGGTAGGCTCCATCTTCACTACAGTAGTAATATTATTTATTTCAGGGATACATTGTATATGCTCCAAGGTACATCTTATCCTTCACTACAGAAGTAATATTATTTATTTCAGGAACACATTGGGTAGGCTCCATGGTACATCTTATCCTTCATTCAGATGACTTGCACGCAGCTAACAATGTCCATGTTCATGACAGGTTCACATGGTTGGACATTCCAAAACAAAGTAACATATAACTTTATATTAAGTGACTCGATGATTTTTAAATTAAAATTGATTAACTAGTAAGCTTTGTCAGGGGGCTATTTCTACCAATGATATTGCTTTGATCTATCTTTTTGAAAAATAAGGTATAGTAGGTCATTGGGAGGTACATTTTTTGTCCCCTTGTACATTTGGAATACAGATGAGGCATGATTTTGGTCTACTTTTGTTTTTTCTCTTTGGCTTCTTAACCATTTTCAATTTTATGTAACACTTCCCACTATTTACTGGTAATATGGGAAGATATTTGAGGGATCGACCTAGGATTCCTGTCAAACTTAGAACAAGCAGTGAACGTAATTGGGACACATCCTCTAAATAACTCCAAAATAAAATTGTAACAAACTGTTACTACAACGAGTGATTGTAGTAAGCCAAATCTTTTCTAGTAGCATTATCGGGTGCTTGCTATATCTATAAAAATTTCTGTTAAAATGATAACATTATATAGCTCAAATAAATGCAAAGATACTTTATGGAGGAGCGATTCTTTTGAAAATAAGACGAAGGTGGAAGTGATTTTTATCATATGAACCTAAAGAACCTTCTTGAGTGCTTGTAATATTTGGTACAAAACATTTGACATTAAAAAAGATTAGTATATAAAATTGATAAAAACACAAAAATACAGTAAAACCTTTCTATCTGAACACCTCTTCAATCCAAACACCTCTCATTATAAACAATTTTTGATCCATTTTTCGAATTTGCTATACACTACACTCTAATGAATGAAAACCTTGAAATATGAACTCAGAACCTGCCAATCTGAACACTTTTAGCTGGCTCCAGTAGCATTAGAGTTAAACAGGTATAAATCATAACAGTATGCAGACTTATTGACATGATCTTAGGTTAGTGTCTAACATTGTTGCCATCTATAGTTCAAGATAGATAGCCATAATATATCATAATCCAACCAATCAGAACAAGGTATATAATATAATATACATGCTATATTATTCAGCTGAGAATGGTTATTTTTTGATTCAGTGATATTGATAATCTTCTTCAAATTCATAATTTCAAGTTGGCAGTTGAGAAATACTATCTTTAACAAACCAAGTAAGGTGGGTGCTTATGTAGGTCAACATTTCAAAAGGTCAAACCTTGCAAACCTCTTGCAAAAGAGTTATTGGTGATTCTGTTTAATCTTTTGCAAAGTGGGGAAAGAATTTAAGCAACACTTGTATCCTAGCCTTTGAATCTGGGCTCCTACAACGGACCCCTCTCCAAATCTTTATTTTGACAAGCTCCCCTAATTTATATAAGTGAAATTTCATACCGAATCAACTGTAATCTAATATCTTGTATTCCAGTGCTCAGTGGTGAGATTGGACTAAAAGATGTCAACAAACAGCATGGCAACTTTCAGTTTGATACTTTTACTTCACTCCCCTCTCCCCGAATATTTGTCAGTCATCTGGGGTATCCCTTTATGCCTAGAGGTATTACAGATGGGACTTGTAAGGTAAGCTGCCATCTAGGGTATCCCTTTATGCCTAAAGGTGTTACAGATAGGACTTGTAGTGTAAGTTGCCATCTAGGGTATCCCTTTATGCCTAAAGGTGTTACAGATGGGACTTGTAAGGTAAGTTGCCATCTGGGGTACCTTTTTATGCCTAAAGGTGTTACAGATAGGACTTGTAAGGGAAGTTGCCATCTGGGGTATCCCTTTATGCCTAAAGGTGTTACACATGGGACTTGTAAGGTTAGGTGCCATCTAGGGTATCACTTTATGCCTAAAGGTGTTACAGATAGGACTTGTAAGGGAAGTTGCCATCTGGGGTATCCATTTATGCCTAAAGGTGTTACAGATGGGACTTGTAGTGTAAGTTGCCATCTAGGGTATCCCTTTATACCTAAAGGTGTTACAGATGGGACTTGTGAGATAAGGTGCCATCTAGGGTATCCCTTTATACCTAAAGGTGTTACAGATGGAACTTGTAGTGTAAGTTGCCATCTAGGGTATCCCTTTATGCCTAAAGGTGTTACAGATGGGACTTGTGAGATAAGGTGCCATCTAGGGTATCCCTTTATGCCTAAAGGTGTTACAGATGGGACTTGTAAGGTAAGTTGCCATCTGGGGTACCTATTTATGCCTAAAGGTGTTACAGATAGGACTTGTAAGGGAAGTTGCCATCTGGGGTATCCCTTTATGCCTAAAGGTGTTACACATGGGACTTGTAAGGTTAGGTGCCATCTAGGGTATCCCTTTATGCCTAAAGGTGTTACAGATAGGACTTGTAAGGGAAGTTGCCATCTGGGGTATCCATTTATGCCTAAAGGTGTTACAGATGGGACTTGTAGTGTAAGTTGCCATCTAGGGTATCCCTTTATACCTAAAGGTGTTACAGATGGGACTTGTGAGATAAGGTGCCATCTAGGGTATCCCTTTATACCTAAAGGCAACATCCAGTATTTAATTTATTATAGGTTTAAACCCATATTAATATTTCGTCAACATATTTGTATACCGTCAACCGGTATTTGAGTTATTGCCCGGACACATGAAGGACGGACAAACGGACGGACATCTTGTAATATATAGATACACTGTTCCACATGTTTTGTTAAAGAGCAACTGAAGCATACAATCTTTCCACAAAGATAAATTCAGACCAACATTTGGATATCTACATCATGTAGGCAGATTAAATTTTTGATTTTATTTATTTGTCATATCCAGTATTTAATTTATTATAGGTTTAAACCCATATTAATATTGAAGTCATATTTGGTAAGTTAAAATCCAGTATATATTAATTATAGGAAATACCCATATTAATATTTAAGTCATAACTGGTAAGATAAAAATCCACATTAGATATAAAAGCAGGTTCCTCAGGCTTGTGACTGGGCATAGGTGGGTTTAACGTTTTAGTCCATGGAAACACTCCCCTTCCCTGCATGGATTCAATAAATAAGACATAACTGGATCCCTGAACTACAGTATATTAACAAGTCCATGAACGCTTCAGTGTCGGACGGACGGACTGCTTTTCTATATCCCCCTCAAACTTCGTTCGGTGGGATAACAACCGTAAGGGGTATACAATACTCCTTGTTGAGAGTTGCAACAAAATCACTAATGTTATCAAAAAAAACAGATTTTGAAGAATTGACTCTTAAATCAAAATCTGTTTTACTCACACTCTCTCAAAGGGGAAAGTGAGATTATAAAGTTTTATCTCTAATATGTTTTGCACCAAAATCTATTCACTTTTGATATTGTTTGTTTCGTTTACCTAAATGAAGTGCAAAACTTATTTTTGTTTATTCAAAGAATGAAATATATGGCATGTATGGAAAATGCAATGTGAGATGACACCAAAAATGAGACTACAATTGAATATGAAAATGTTTTCTTACCTCAAGCTGGTCGTTGTGATGCGTAATCCCAAGTCCGTACTCTGCAGCATAAGTCATATGTTCAAGAGTTTCCAAGGCGGGGCTGAAGTTTCGGAGGCTGACTTTCGAACACTTGATAACATCTTGGATGATAACCTCACACAGCAAAATGACAGATGTAAGTAGTCTGGAACATGAAAATAATTTTTTATATTTATTAAGTGGCACATAGTGACATAAATAATGTCAAAAATTTCACAAATAAAAAAATATATGAAAATATAAAAAAATATTTGTTTCCTGATCAGATGATTCAAAACGTCAAGGTGCCCAGAATAGAATGAGGGTATCCTCAGTCAACAGTCGAAATCCCTGGACTTCCTGATCGATCCATGTACATGTACTTATGTTTCTTCAATGGGAAGTTTCTATTTCTTATAATAGTTTAACCAAAGCGTATTCATTTTGGTAGAAAGAAAAGAGGGTTGAATTGAATTAATAATTAAATAGTATTATGAATGTATATTTTTCTCACGGTTTAGTTGTGTATGGCACCTGGTTCAACCACCTGTCTGGCTTTTGGGCACAAAAAGATCATCTAAAAGTGCTGTTCATTAAATATGAGGATATGGTGAATGTAAGTCATTTTTGTCAGATATTTGTAAGTGAGGTCAGAGGGGGGGGGGGGGGGTATTTGAATTGTTTTAAGTGTCAACATGGCTCATAAAATCAATAGGAACACAGCATCACGAAACTCATGAAGAATTTTTAACGCTACATGGTTTATTACAAAATTTGATAATTCTGACAATTTTGGGGGAAAAATATCAAATTTCTTATTCAAATCTACACATTTATTGTTATTCTTTTAAAGCGGAAATAATGTCAGGTATTCTAATCATCATTATATGTAGTTACAATACTACTGAATAAAATGCAATAAGTTGAAAATCTTGTTATGTGTTAGTTTTTGTATAATATTAAAAATAAAAATCATAAATTGACCCAGTGACCCAGTTGTCTGTTGGACGGGGCTCGCCATATTTCCCTCAGAGACCCGGATGTAGACCGGAAGTGTGACGTTTCTGCGACCTGAGCCGCCATCTTGAAAGCATTCACAACAAAGGAAAATGCCTATGTGTTGTGCGGTAAATTGTTCAAATATTTCCACTAATAGAGCTAGACTTGGGATAAGGACTTTAAAAGAAATGCCTGAATGACAGTACGACAGTCGGCTGGTGACGGTAGAATTAAAATCTGTCGACAGTTAAAACCAGCTGTCGTTGTCGTGGACCGAATCCCCGGGGAATAGAACACATTTAAAACAGTGTCACTTACTATAGTTTCTGAAAAGTTTCATGCACGGCTTTTAACAATCAAAGATTCCCACTTATTATTGTCTTGTTTGTCGTCCTATAATTATCCTGGGGTTGTGTTTTTTCTTCCCAATACGGGAAAACATTTTGAATAAAGAATTTACAATTCCGCCATCGAATAAGTAGGGTAATCTGCAGCAGTTTCGTTTTTGCTTCAACTCTTCGCGCATGCCTAGTAGTTTGAAATAATTTACAAGTGCGCATGTGTTTTGGAATTAAGCCAATCAAACTATTCATTCTAATGCGCATGAACTAGATTCCGAATCAAGAGGAACTGGCGCAGATTGCCTCAAATGCTGAAATCGCTCTTCAAAAGCTCTTCCAAATTGATTGGTGAATAAAAATGAATAACAACTGAAGTTAGAGCGGTTTATTTAGTTCGATGTCAGGATATTTCAAGTAAGTATTGATAATATAGACGCTACAGTGATGATGGTTCTAGACACGCGGGGCAAGTTGTTTTAGCTGATTTTCTCCTCAAACGGCGTAGATTGAACACAATTTTACTTCCGGGTTTACCCACGACAGTTTGCTATCGGCAACAGAAATAACACTGTCGTTATCGACAATGGAATCTCACTGTCGTTCGGGCAGTTGCCATACCATACATATTCTCTCACAAGAAACCAAAGAAAACGGATTCAAGGCGAGCAATCCGGTCCCAAAAAGAGAACTGAACCAGGCCATGTGCCGGTTAGGTCGACGCCATTTTGAAAAAACTTTTTGAATTGTATCGTATCGTATCGTATGTCTTTAATAGCTTTATAACTTAATACCATATTTGTGAAATAAATATAACACACTAGGTCTAAGAGCCTTTAAATTGTTTGTTGTCTACTGTAAATACAACAGAAATACACCTCAATGGTGATCGAAATGACGAACCTTGCGTCATCGATCGCGATCATTCATGACGGGGAATACATTTTCAGTTCTGCCTTATATTTATAACAGAGTGTCAAAAATCCAATTAATATCTGCCATTCGTCATTTTATTAAATAAAAGATCCGAATATGTTTAATCTTCAAGCAAAACAATCGAGAGATAATTGATTGTCAACATAAAATTAACGCATTTTCCTGTCATGCCGGTAACCAACGTTCACGAGTTGGTCAGTTTTTGGTTTTGATTGGCACTTTGGGAGTTAATTCTATGAATTGTAAGTATTGATGTGAACATGGTCATGTTTTTCTCGAACAGGTGATATCATATTATAGTATGTCAATATGCCAAATACATCGTCAAAATCTTCAAATTGCTCCATTTTCTTGTTAAGAAGTTCGTAATATTTTTCAATGTGGCCGCCCCGCTACAATTGCGCATGCGCATTTTTCGGGCCAATCAAAATGCTGAATTTGTCGAGTCGCAGTGACGCAGCTCATGAATATTCATAGGTAGGTTATGGCGACCTCCATAATCCAGGTGAAGATCCAATACCTCAAAATTAATTCCAATATATCTGCCGATGCATTAGAAGATCGTCGCTCATACCCGGGTCATGTGTTGATTATAGACTTATTATTCTGATGAATCATAGTTTTTACTTGAGGTTATTATCCCTTTAAAGTGTGTACTCTGTATATGTGTGAATTTTTTCAGATGTTATTTCAAGATTGGTAACTAAGTGAAGTTCAACGGATCCACAAACTAATTGTCAAACTACAAAACAAAGGCTTAAATAAATTGGTACTCGATTAGAAATTTTTCAAATCGAAATTTTTATTCAAAACATTGATATGAATAATTTCACTTTTGTTGTCCAAAGGACCGAGCAGAATATATTACTTTTTATTAAAATTGATTGAGATAAATAATTTTACTTCTCTCTAAAGGACCTAGCGGAATCTGTTACTAAAACTGCAGAATTCTTGGAGAAAGATCTCACGGAAGCTGAAAAAGACAATATAGTTGAACATCTTACCTTCAACAAAATGCGAAATAATCCCAAAACAGGCAAAGTATTTGAGACAATCAAGGAGAGATCAGGACACGACAACAGTGCAGGTCATATGAGGAAAGGTAAGTTATATCAAGGTATTGTTTCCTTAAAATGTTATTTTTAAATGTTTCATTTATCTTGAAATGTTGTTAGATCTAAAATGTGGCTCTATGATTGTTTATCAGCTTTGAGATTTTTAATTTTTTGATTTCTGCTCTTGAAGTCATTTTTCATTAGACTTATTTTATTATTATGTCACCACCAAAAGTGGTGACATATTGTTATGGTCTCCGTTTTTTTTGCGACGGCGGTTGGAGGTTGGCGTCCGGCGTCCGGCGGTTGGAGGTTGGCGTCCGGCGTCTGTAACAATTTCTTACAACTTCCTATAACTTAACAAATACTGTTTAGACTGACTTCAATTTTTTTCTAAATCATCTACATGTTCTCAGAAGTTCAAATCTGACTTTAGATTTGACATTTGACCTTCAATGACCTTCTCAAGGTCAAAAAGGTCTTTTTTCAACTTGCTTCACATTGACTAAATTTTTTTTCAAAATCATCTACATGTTCTCAGAAATTCAAATCTGACTTTAGATTTGACATTTGACCTTCAAATCTGACTTTAGATTTGACATTTGACCTTCAATGACCTTCTCAAGGTCAAAAAAGGTCAAAAAGGTCTGTTTTCAACTTGCTTCAAATTGACTAAAAAAAATTTTCAAAATCATCTACGTGTTCTCAGAAGTTCAAATCTGACTTTAGATTTCACTTAAGATTTGACATTTGACCTTCAATGACCTTCTCAAAGTCAAAAAAGGTCAAAAAGGTCTTTTTTCAACTTGCTTCAAATTGACTAAATTTTTTTTTCAAAATCATCTACATGTTCTCAGAAATTCAAATCTGACTCTAGATTTGACATTTGACCTTCAATGACCTTCTCAATGTCAAAAAAGGTCAAAAAGGTATTTTTTCATCTTGCTTCAAATTGACTAAATTTTTTTTTCAAAATCATCTACATGTTCTCAGAAGTTCAAATCTGACTTTACATTTGACATTTGACCTTCAATGACCTTCTCAATGTCAAAAGAATTCAAAGAGGTATTTTTTCAACTTGCTTCAAATTGACGAATTTTTTTTTCAAAATCATCTACATGTTCTAAGAAGTTCAAATCAAACCTTCTTAAGGTCAAAAGGTATTTTCCAACTTGCTTTAAATTGACCAAATTGTTTTAGGTGGTGACATTTTGTCATGTTAATGCCTTGTATCAAAATGTAACTATTGCCTAAACTATATCTTTAAATCATGTAAAAATAATGCCGTTTAATAGTTAAGTGAATTAATGAATTGTTGTATATATTTTTCCAGGTGTAATAGATGACTGGAAGGATAACCTTACGGTGTCTCAAAGTGAAAGAATTGACTCTTTCCTTCAAGACAAAATACAAAAACTTGGACTTGAGTTCCAATATGAATAATAAAAATATAACTATTATATTTATAAAGATGTATATAACAAAATGGCAACTCCATGGACCAAATGAACAATTATGTATCTCAAACATTAAAAGCTAGCGTATCTAGACGGGGGTGTGGAGGGTGCACGGCTGCACGCCTCCTCCAAAAAGTCAGAATTTCAACTGGAAATCAAAATAGAAGGTTATGGATTGTCAATAACGCATTGCATATGCTTAAATCAGACCCGGGATTTGGACCTACAGTGCTACACTCCTGAAATTGGTCAGAATGCACCAAATTATGTTCAATTTTCACATTTTTCTGGGGGGAGAACCCTCCAGACCCCCTAACACAAAATCCTGGGTCCGCCCCTTTTAAAGAATAGTAAAAAGTAACCATAAATGCCATAAAAAGGGTTGTGTTGTTGTTTGTGCTAAATTCAAAGTAGAACATTCAGATATAAAAGTCCACAATGGGAGCAGGAGATCAAATCAAATCAATATACATTTTCTCATCATAATTATTATTTACTTACATTATGTTTTAAGTTTCAATATCACAAGGTTTTGGACATTTTCTTTGAATTTTAATCTAGGAGATTTTTGAAGCAATCTTACATGTTAAATTAAGGGTGGTCCAAAGAGGTGGACCCTTGCAGCAAGCTATATCTCAATCATTACTTGCATTAATGAGCTGATATTCTCACATGTTTCAGAGGATTGTCTGAAGTTGTTGTGGGTATCAGTATTGCAGAATTAATATGGCATCAACAGACATGTTTGATTTTGGATGATGTGCTCAATCAATGCTTCATGGTTCTGGATAACTGCTGCAATGCAAATGTTGAAGTTGTTCACTGCTTATTCCAGCATATCTAGGGGTGTTTCCTTTAAAACTCGTGAGAATATATTAGCCCGCGGATGCATATAATAACTGAAATGTAGCTTGTTGCAAGGGTTCACCTTTTTGGACCACCCTGTATATGAATAAACCCACTGAATTTTTGCCATCTATTGAGAGTCCTTAGCACCAGTCCATTGAACGATCTGAATTATTTTGGTTAATACATTCCTATAAACAGTTGAAGTATTCCATTTGGAAAATATTCAATATATCAAACAATAGACTAGATGCGAAGAGAAATAATCTTGATTTACATCATTGAATATTCAAAATTCAGTCAAAGTGATGTCATATTTGAAATCTACGTACAAAAGTACGTCTAAAAATAAAGTTTCGAAAATTGTTTATCAACTTTGAAAATTTCATTTTTTGAAAATCTGTCGGGTTCAACCATTGTTCGGGTTGATTCCCCATAGACCCCATGTTACAAAATCACAAAAAGTGAAACATCTTTTCTTGAATTGGACAGATAACATTTTCTTTTACTGGTATATTTTAATTTGCATAACTATTAGAAACATAAGAGTTATATGAAAATTGAAACATTAAAACAGATGTAATTTAAGTTAAAGGGAATTTTCTACTATACCCAGCATGATGCTATCTGACTCGAACAAGCCACCTGGTGGTGAAACTGGTAACTACATGTACCTACTCACATCTGCATGATTTAGTCAGTTTTTCCAATTATATATGCTTGTATCTAGCACACACATGCTCCCATCTATTTATCCAAGAGGTCAATTGTTGAAAAAGCAGTTGAATTCATTATTAATTAATCCTACATCTGGTCAAAATTTTGGAAATGCATCTGATCTTGGTAACCTTCACCATGGAAGAACTTTTCAAACTGGTTACAAAAAGATCCATTTTGGCTTGATGGTATGATTTTTATTTTTCCATTATTTCACAAGATATAAGCAATTTTTTCTCGATCTTTTTGGCACAAATGTGTGTCAGCCTCAAAATCTTAAGATAATCAAAATATGCTAATAAAAAGGTTGTGAAAAATTACTGCCTACATCTCAGTTGTAATCATAAAAATCATAAATTTGAGGCAACAACATTTTGTTAGGGAAGATGAGTCGAACTTCCAATTCAAGTATGAGTACTTCATCAGAGGCATTTCGATCATGGGGCTATTTTGACATTGGCTTATATTTCCAAATCATGAAGTCTGCTAAGTTTGTTTTTGAAAATTTTTTAAAATGAATATCCTAGATGCGAGTAGAAATGATCTTGATTTACGTCATTAAAAATTCAGTCAAACAATTCAGTCAAACTGATGTCATATTTGGAATCTACATGTAAAACTACAACTAGAAACGTGGTTTTGCAAAGAGTTTATCAACTATGAAAATTTATTTTTCTTTGAAAATGTTACTTCTAGGTCGGGGGGATTCCCCATAGACCCCATATTGTAATACCACAAAAAGTGAAATATCTTTTCTTGTGTTGGGCAGATATATTTTCTCTTACTGGACATATTTTAATTTGTATATCTATCACATACATAAGGGTAATATGAAAAGTGAACCACTAAAACTGATGAATATTCAAGTTTAAAGGAATTTTGTAATACATGATATATGTTATTTCCCCCGAATCAGCCAACTGGTGGCGAAACTGGTACAGTGCTGATATATAATAATTAAGGGTGCGTTTTCAAACTAAACAGAGTGCTCCTATCAAAATGAATTTGCCTACATACCCCTGAGACTCTTATCTGATAGATAGAATGCACAAATAAAACAAAAGTTTTGCTATTATAGGTAAAAAGTTCTCTTGAAATTTCGAAGTGATTTTACCTGTTAATTCTGTCCATGTCACGCCATTTTTGCGGAAGTTACACTGAAACGCAAACTCCATGAAACGAAACGAAATCACTAGAAAAAAAATGGCACACATAGTGCGCATGTGCAGCAAAGTTTAGACCAATCAGATTATTTGATTATTTTGCGCATATGAATTAGTTGCTTCTGAGCACTTACAAGCTTACCACAATAAACAAACCTGGCAGAGACTACCCTTAGCCTACTTCATTTTGGCGAAATTTCAGCTCAAACTCGTGACAAATGCTTTATGCATACGCTGGTGTGAAGCCTTGGAGACACTCATTTTGGTAAATATGATTTATGGGGTATACTTTTCTGCAGTTTGTGGGAGTTTGGGACATTAAATGTTAAAATTCAAGAAAATATGCCAATTAAATGACTGATCAATTAATATATACCAGCACTGTAATGTCTATGTCTATGTCAATAATCCGCAAAAGGCTAATAAGCCCATATAAAGCAGATATATAATTTAACAGTGATAGAATTTGAATAGAATATAATTTAAAACCTTAACATTTAAAAATAGATCTATGGTTTACAACTCATTTTACCTGGGGAGACTGTCAGGCTAACCGCGTTGACATCACCCCTCTTTACCAGATCTATATTAAAAACACACCTATTTAATTGCAGTTATTGACATAGGCATAGTATGATGATTTAAAACTACTTAGACTGTCACAGTCTAAGATGTCACCAGGTAGAGTGTTCCATTTAGCTATTGTCCTAGGGAAATAGCTAAATTTGTATGCATCCGTTCTAGTTGATGGTTGTATGAACTTAGAAGGATGATACAACCTAGTGTTGGTATTGATCTGTTGGCGGAAGTATGGAGGCACGTCGATGGCTGCTAGGTTCTGCTTTCCTTTGTAGAAAAGGAAAACTCTAGCAGCCTCTCGACGCTCCTTCAGTGGCTCCCACTGTAGGTCTTGAAGAGCTTTGGTGACGCAGCCTGGTTCCCTTGAGTGACATTTGGTTACAAACCTGGCTGCTCTTCTCTGTACCTGTTCCAACATATCAATATCTTTTTGTCGGTACGGATCCCATGCCGAGCTGGCATACTCTAAATTAGGCCGGACTAGTGACTTATACGCCTGAGCCTTCACTTTTTCAGGGCATTGATGGAGGTTGCGCCTGAGAAATCCAAGCACCTTATTGGCTTTGGATACAATAGTTTGAATATGTGTAGTCCAGCGTAAGTTATTTGTGATGTCAATTCCTAGGTATGGGATGTGTGTTACCGACTTAAGGTTTTCCCCTAGCATGGTGTAATTGTGCATGATAGGGGATTTACCTTTGTGAATATTTAGCACATAGCATTTTGATGGATGGAATTTCATTTGCCATGTTGATGCCCAGGAGACCAGTTTATCAAGATTCTCCTGTAGTGTTAATGCATCTTGCTTGCTTTCGACTGTCATGAATAAAAGGCTGTCGTCGGCAAAAAGCTTAAGACTGGCTGAGGATGATAGGTTATTGCCCATATCATTGATATAAACAAGGAAACAGAGTGGTCCAAGAACTGTTCCTTGAGGAACTCCTGATTTTACTGGAGTTTTTGAACTTGATTCACCATCGAGCACTACCTGTTGTGATCTTCCCACAAGCCAGGATCTGAACCAGTTCAAGTTATTATTGCGAATTCCATAATAGTCGAGTTTGAGCAAGAGGCGTTCGTGAGCCACCGTGTCAAACGCTTTGGAAAAGTCTAATACCAACATGTCTGTTTGTTTATTGTTGTCGAGGGCCCGAGCTATATTCTCTATTGTATTGACAAGTTGTGTTTCACATGAGTGCTTTGACCTGAATCCATGTTGGAATTTTACTAGAATTTCATAGAGGTCAAAGTGGGCCATAACATGATGGAATATAATATGTTCCATTATTTTACATGGAACTGACGTCAGAGATACAGGCCTGTAATTCACAGCCTCATCTCTTCGTCCCTTTTTGTAGATAGCAGTAACATTGGCATGTTTCCAGTCCATAGGCACTAAGCCTTCATCGATAGACTGTTGAAAAATTATTTGAAGGAATGGTGATATGCTGTCACTGCATTCCTTCAGGACCCTAGTCGGAATAAGATCGGGTCCAGTGGCTTTTGATGGATTTAGGCCAGTTAGCAATTTGTGAATTCCTTTTGTCGAAATTTTGATATTTGGCATTTCAGGAATTTGACTAGGTACCATTGTCGGTAGAGTGGCATCCTCATCTGTGAATACAGAATTGTATTGGTCATTGAGGATGTTTGCTTTCTGGGCGGCGTCTGTTATTTCGTCGCCATCTTTGTTACGCAGCACGCTGATACCTGATGCATCTTTGCGTTTAGACTTTATGTAGCTCCAGAAGCGTTTGGTAATGCCTTTGTGCTGAACATTCTCATTTATGATTTCGCTTTCATCAATGTCAAGCAGATCGTTGATGTAGCACTGATGTTCTTTACGAATTTCACTATGGATTAATTTCCGTAGTGATTTGTATTTATGCCAATGATGAGGTTCATTTGAACGTTTGGCAACATTATATCGTCTTTGTTTCTGTCGGATCATTCTCAGTATCCTGGTGGTAATCCAGGGTACTTTGAATTTCCCGCTTAGAGTTTTACTTGGAATATGCTCATTGATTGACGATATTAATGTAGATTTGAAGGAGGACCAGTTGTCTTCAACTGATCTACTTTCACAGTTCTCTTTGAATTCGCTGAACTTAGATCGTAGAGTCTCTTTAAGTCCAGTCCATTCTGCCCGCTTGTATATGTGGACCTTACGAGGCTTCTTTTTCTGAATTTTCATTTTTAGGTTTATATCACATAGGACTGCCTCGTGATCACTCATGCCCGGAACCACCGAGATTCTTTCTGCGAGGTTTGGGCATGTAGTGAATACTAAGTCAAGGATGTTATTTTGTCTAGTTGGTTCCTTGACTAGTTGGGTTAGGCCATGATCATCAGTTATTGTAATCATCTTCTCATTAAGATCATTAGAATATTGAGAATTAGGCCTTATAGTTCCTTTCTCCCAATCGATGTCTGGTAAGTTGAAGTCACCACATAGGAAGATGTTTTTCATATGTGTATTACCATTAGCATAAAGTTTATCGAGGGATGTTTGGAGCGAGTCCAAAGCACCAGTATCGTTGTTTGGTTGACGATAGAAGGATCCAAACAGTATGTCCCCATTTGATAGAGATGCTTTGGACCATATGATTTCGCAATCAGCTGTCGCTTCATATTCGACTGATATGAAGTCACTTTTGACTGCGATAAGGACACCGCCAGCACCTTTCTTTCGGTCTTTCCTGTATGGAGGTGGGCTAAGGTAGTCTTGACCGAATATCCATTTGCTGTCGATGGTGTTGTCCAGGTGAGTCTCACAGCCTATGATGACATCTGGCTTGTGAGTTTCAATTAGTTGTTGAAGGTGTAGTTGCTTCTCATGACTAATTAGACTGCGGAAGTTGATAGACATGAGGCGAACCTGGTTTCGCCTCTTTCGTGCAGTCAGCCTCGGTGGTTCTGATTCGGTAGAATCAGATGATGATGACGAATTGTCAAGATCAGAGAGAGCGCTGAAGGAGTTTGTTACCGAGGAATGAGAAAGAGTGGAGTCATTGAAGAAGCTGTTGGAAAAATTAGGTAGGGCACATCCAGGACAGATCCAGGTGAAACTGCCCGCGTCAAGAAAAACATTGTACTCAGCAGGGGAAACATTGCCACATTTGATGTGTACCCATGTGCCGCATTCATCGCATTCAAGGGCGCGATGATTCTTGGCAACTGCTTTGTGGCACATACCGCAGGGAAATTTAACAGGACCTGGGTTTGGGTGGATGTCACCACTAAGAATAAGACATAGGAAGAGCAGTGGTGTGGAAGATTTCTTGTGAAGGATTCCACGAGAGCCAACAATCTTATGGAAACGTCGCAGTTGCATCAACTGTGTGTATGACTCTGTTGAAGGTAAGTGGTTTCCATGATCACAGAAAAATGACTGGACTGCGAAAACAAAGCAGAGAAGGAGCAATCCATATCCTTGGAAACCCATGACGAAGAGGTAGGTAAAACCCGTTAGCTGAAAATAAGAAAATTCGCGCAAAAATATGAAAAATACCGCGAAAACCGAAGTTTGAAAAATACGAAAATTAAAACTGATTTATCCCCAAAAGGGGGTCCTGCTATAATTTAAATGTCGTTGATTATTAGAAGTAAGTATGTAAGTTATTAAAATCTGGAGGCTTTATCGAGAATAAATTAGAATTGCGCAGGTAATCGATGTAATTATGATTTAATTTTCGTAAGAGAGAAGAAAACATCCGCCATTAATGACGCATGCGCACTTCGGGGCCGCATGCGCACTTTGTAACTACATGTACCTACTCGCATCTGAGTAATTGAAATGTCTTAACAGGCAAGATCTTAATTCAACATGGCTGACCCCGGAAATATGAATTTGAAATTAGCCCATGGTCGAAGCAGCTCCATGACAAAGTAGGCCTAGCCCCATACATCAAAATTCGATGCATCTCCCCTAAGCTTACTGAAATGAATCTGTTTTCTTGAAGACTTCCACTTGTTTAGCAATACTAGCTGCTCCAAAGTAGAGATAGTGGGCCAACACTGTAACATATGTCGAATTTAGGTTTAAAGTAAGTTTTGGAAGAACTTTGATTCCCATCCCCATCCGTGTTCTCTCAGTGTTGTTTCATTGTCCTCTGCAGAGACGGATTGAGAATCCAGTCTCTCGAGTGCAATCATACATGGATTTCAAAGAATACATGTGTATTATTAGAAAACAAGTGTTTGTGATACATGGATGAAAACCATACGAACCTTGTTATTCTCACAATCATTACAGAGTTATCATTAGGCCTAGGAAACTATGTATCAAACAGAAACATGATAAAATGTCTGCCAGTCTGCGAAAAACTTTGGAAGAACACATTCCGAAAATATGAACAAATATTTTTATTTAGGAAAATCATCATCAATGATTAGAACACAAATACAGATTCAATAAATGATAGAAAACCACTGTTCATGATGAAAAATACTAAGAAATTATCTAATTATACTATAAGGCGTAGTTAAATGAACAAACTCACCATTGGAATGTGTTCAACTTTTGATGGCGCGAAAAACGACCGGAAAAGTTTTGGTGTTGACCGTTGACCGAATATCTGGAGATTCTAGTGGAGAATGAGCGATATGACTAAAGTCCACGCACGGGACGATTTCATTGGTAAGTTGAATTCTATGGCTTTATCTTTACAGATGGCAGAATTTTTCTTATGAAATTAGGTGAAATACCCGGGGAAATATCCCGGTTCAACACTGTCTGTGTTGTGTACAAAATTTGCCAGGGGTCCTAGGCTGAATCCTCAGATATCAATATATTCCCATACCAAAATGTCAAATTTGAATGTGTTCCCATACCAACCGATATACATGTAGTGCCCAAAGCCATCCCAAATGCCCAAATATGAAACCAATGCCATACCAAATGTCAAAATATAGGACCAATGCCATACCATGGCCATGACTGGTCCAAAGTAGAATATTTCCTGGGAAAAAAAGCTATTTATTTAAACTGAAGAAGGTCCCAAGAAGAAGGCGATCTTTGAGGAAAACGAACCAAAACATCCTCGTATTAGGATATGTGTAACTACTAGACCAATTCCATGCCATAATTGTGAGATAACATATTTTCCATGACCATTCTCATACCAGAAAGTTGGCAGTATACCCGGGCCTCAGGTTCAAGGCTTGAGTTAACAATGAAAACTTACCGCAAAAGGATCGCAGTATTGTCAGGTCTTCAAAGATTGTTGGAGAGTTTGAAATATTGATCGTTGTTCTTCACATACGGCACTGCCAGTATAACAGTGCGCGTAAAGGGAATTGCGTCAATGCGTACCACCTTCGTTTGCGCAAATTTTCACCAGTTAGTTTTTGAATATAACATGTCGTTGTGATGTTTAATCGATGCTAACATATCCCTTACATTTTTCTTTATCTTGGTGTGAAATAACATGCTATAATATTGATTAACATGCCAGAGATTGAAATAATCTTATTCGAAGCGTTATTAGAAAATTCGAGGTGTCTGAAGTATGTGGGGGTACCCAAAATGGCCTGTCACCGAAGTGATACGTGAACATAGTGTTGCTGTTCCTTGTACACAAATGGCATACAGTCGCTATGTTACATATTATAACGTATCTTCGGTATATCTACTATAAAAAATACCTAACATCGCGATCCATGTTTTAACTTTGAATTCTGTCACTCAGTTGTCTATGACCTTTGGTGATCGTGTTACATGTATTTATTATTTATTATCAAAAAATTGGCCTTGAATTTTCACAATTTAGGCCCAATTTTTGGTTTTAGGGGCCCCAAAATTTTTTTCCTTGTAAGCGCAGAAATTTTTTCCAGGAGACTCAAAATTTGCACCCCCTCCCCTTGTTAACTTCTGGGTCTGCCAGTGCAGAGGATGTTTAGGAATGGATGGATCAAGACGCTGTGCGATGATAGGACCATTTCTCCTACTAAAGTTTGAAATCAAAATATTTTGTATTAGCCTTCACTGGCGGATCTTCCACCCCCTTGGGTGGGCCCAGAAAAAAAAATTGGGCCCAATAAATGTTGGGCCAAAAAAGGCCTTACTGCCCCAAAAAGTGGGGCTTTTTGGTCATTACTGGGCCTTATTTTTTAATTTCAGGCCAAATTTTAAGAAAATGGGCCTCAAAATTTCAAAATTTTTGGGTTTTAAGGGCTCAAAATTTTTTTCTCTGACCTGACATTTGCCCCCCCCCCTTGTTGGTTCCCAGATCCGCCCCTGGCCTTTATGTTAGAATGACATATTCCATCAATTTTTTGCTTCAACATTTTTGTAAAAGTGTGGAATGACAGTGTTTTCCTTTGGTTGTAAAAACCTCACTCTGTGGTAGGCTGTAGGTAGGTAGTTTCAAAATCTTCTCGACATATTCAAAATGTACTGTTAAAAACTCTCGGGTATTAAGCGGGGATTCATAGTAAACCCTGATGTGCAAACACTTAAACATTTCAGCCTGATATTGTTTTGAATGAAGTTCATAATTTCTTACACTAAGAAGACATGTAAATAAAAGCGCTCGTTCAAACTTTATGTATACATTGGCATTTAAATGTTCACCTGAAATACAGGTTAAGTCTTGGGAAATATTTCAAAATCAATTTAATTAGTTCTACTTTGATGGAACATTCAAAGTTACCACAAAAAGCTTTCAATACAGGACAACAGGATCCAAGAGCATCAAACTCATTATATGGTTACCACGCAGAACCAACTTTTCTGAACAAAGTTGAGAAAAAAAATACCAGTATGACCAAATATACAGCTGAAGGCACAAGTTCTGCGCAAAGTTTTTCAGCACCAGGAGCCGAAGGTTTGATTATCTTTTTTATCGTTTCTTATAAGGAACAGTTCAGTATTAATTTTTAGCTTGATGGCATTTAATAGTAAGTAGTTTTTATGTCAACACTAGAATATGACATTATTGTCATAGTCTCTAACTTTTTTTGGGGATGGTGTTCTGTGTTCAGCAGTTGGTGGATCTGTAACAAATGGCAGGTCGTGACATTTTGTGTCTTAATGCCTTGTTTAACTTGCTGGTTACATTTTAATTTCTGCAGTAATTATGGATGTTAGGTTGACTATGATATTGTTCATATCCCTATTATTTATTTCACCTGATTGAAGCTGTATGGCTTTAGACTAGAACTTACGAAATGACATGTAAAGTTCATCCACTCCCTTTTTGTGGTTGGGGCAATAAAGGGAATGATTAAGATATTTAATTTTTATATATTGTCTGGTTGTTATGGTCAACTTTTTTGTGGACAGCATTCAGTGTTTGGTGCTTCATGTTCGATGTCTGTAACAAATGGCAGGTGGTGACATTTTGCATGTTATCACCTTGTTAGTTATTTTTATAATTATTTACTGGTTTTCTATGTTGTAGCGACATTTAGATCATGTCAGTATCTGTATATTCAATGAATGGAGGTTCCTATATTAAATCAAGAGTGAATAACGTAATTGAGCAGTTAAGATAACTGGTTCATCACATGATCTGTGATAAATTACTCAACAACTATCTCGTCCTTTATTGTCCCGTGTCCTGTATGTACACAGCACATGATGATGTATTGTTTAAATAAACAAAATAAGAGTCTTTATATGTATCTACATAAGGCTTGATCTGTACTCTGATAAAGTTGAACAGTTTTAGTTTAAAAACAATACAATTACAGTTAATTTTTATGATGGGATTTTGTTCAGCTTGACTACAAAATACAAGGGGCAATCAATAAATTGTATTAAGGTAATTTTTTTTAGTTTTTTCATTCCTCTATAGCTTACAACCAGGAAGTTAAAATGAAGTAATATAAAATAAAACAAGGAAGTTAAAATAAATAAAGATTGATGTTGCATGACAGCTCATATTTAGTTTTATTGAATTGAAAATTCTATATCGTTTTAACATTGGTATATATACATTATTTAATTTATAATTAATTTTTTATGATTAATTTACTTGCTTGGTTCAAAACTTGAATAGAAAAGTCAAATATGCTAAATGTATTTAGCTTTTCTCATATTTTCTGTTTTTATGGTCTGAAGCGTGTGCTTTTGAAAATATATAATAGATATCATACCTGTTTTTCTAATAAACCCATCTTTTGGTTTTGAAACTGTTACACATAATTGGCCAGATTTATTATGTTATCCACTGTAGATTGTAGGTAGCAAGTTGTTTCAAAGAAAACATAGTAAGATTAATTTTGAAAAAACTGAGTATTCCTTTGACAACATAAATCTAGCCAATCATATACCAGTTTTCATTGTTCTATAGCTTGACTCGCAAAAGATAACACTGTTCATTACAAAAATTTATATAATATAATGTTCATAGTAAGTTTTATCATGATTTAGAGTTTGTAATGGCCAAGGCGTCACATGTACATCCTATTGTTCCTCCGCCTGTAGCCAGTTCCAGCCAAAATATGGATATTCAGCAAACAGGAACTAGTGGCTCGTCTAAGTACCAACGATTTGATCATGCTAATGGTAAAAAAGTTTTATATTTACTAGAACTTATATTCTGTACTCAAGGTGTTTGATAAGGTGGTACACACGGTGTAGAACCCAAACGCTCCTACATGCACGACGGAGCGTTACATTTACGCGGAAACGCTCCGGAGCGAAATAAAATGGCGGCTCATGAAGATTCCACTATGACCGTAATTTTTTCTCTCGTTTCTCTTACATATCATATGTTATGGTGAAATATTATGTACCATTCGATGAACAATACCGTGAGCAAAGATCTTATTTATTCAACTTCTGGTGGTAAACTGTTATTTGCTTGATCAAAGCTCCGTAGTGTAGATCGAACGAATATGAAGTTGACGAATTGACCACAAATTACGAATTAAACTAGTATTTCTATGAAAACGTTAATCTTTCTGTTAAAGTAGTAGATCACAAACTCGTATATTCTCATTTCCTAAAATCCCAGTCCAAATCCATTACTTGTTCTCGAGAAATATCGCTTGTTTTCCTCGAAACGCTCCGTCCATTTAGAACACAATTTTAGAAACGCTCTTACCATTTTGTTTTGATATCATTTTCAGATTATTAGAGAAGAGTCCCGAATCGAATCTATCTCTTAAAAACGTGTTGTACTTGTTAGGCAAATTGAAACATCTGAACCTGGTGGTGCTAAATGTGCAACTAGCTGATTTAAGCCTATACATTAGATGATGTCATGCCTACATATGTGCTAAATCATAAAACTATAGAAAAAAACGAAAATTTATGTGTGAATTAATCTTTCTTCTATTGATGCCAAGGGGTATAATCAGAGGCTGGTATCGAAAGATTTGTCCGCTGTGACGGAGCATGCTATTTTTCATAAAAACACTGAGAATGCTTCACGATTTATTTTTTAACTCATATGTTTCGTTATATCAAATAAAATTACTTACTCCATGCAATGGATATATCATTTGCGGGTAACCGTCACTTCTGTTTGAAGTCCAATAACGCTAGGAGTAAAAGCTATTGAAAACGGCGCCAGAGTATCAAACTCTAAAATGTACCATTTCTTTTTTAACTTTTTAATGGCATGATATTGTGACACGATAATATTAACATATGTTTTCAGCATAACTCTGAATGTATTAATGAGATATTAATGCATTGGGTCTTTTTAATTTTTTTTATAAAAAATAATGTTAATATTCTTTGTCCGCTGTGACGGAGCATTTTCACAGTTCACATTTGCAACTGCTCCGTCACAGCGGACAGAAAAATTAAAAATTATTTTTTATAAAAGAATTAAAAGACCAAATACATCAACATCTCATCTATACCTTCTTAGTTATGCTGAAACCATGTGTAAATATTATCGTGTCACTATATCGTGCCAATAGAAAGTTAAACAAGAAATGGTACATTTTGAAGTATGATACTGAGCGGCGCCATTTTCAATAGCTTTTCTTCCCAGCGTAATTGAACTTCAAACAGAAGTGAAAGTTACCCGCAAATGATATATCCATTGCATGGAGTAACTAATTTTCTATGGTATAACGAAATATATGAGTTAAAAAATAAATCGTGAAGCATTCTTAGTGTTCTTATGAAAAATAGCATGCTCCGTCGCAGCGGACAAATATTTCGATACCAGCCCGTGATAATAGATCTTTTCTTTCTCTTCCTGAAAAGGAAAGGCAAGCTATATATTTCCTAAACTGATCTAGACTACCGGAGCGTTTCCAGTTCACTGTGTTAATCAGATCGGAGCGTTTCTTGAATATGAGAATGTCATCATTTTTAAGACTGGATTTTCGGTCATCAAATCACTATTACGATAATGTATGGTGCGTTGAAGCATTTGAATTTGACTAAAATATACGTTGGTGCTCTAATCTTGGCTCAACTAATCACATGTATCGACAAAAGGGGTTTTGACCGGTAGAATGACAAATACGTTTTTGAATTTTGATAACTATACTGCTTCGTATAGCTCTTCCTAATTGCTTCAAACTTCAACAGCCAGCCACGTACAACATGAATATCACACCCATCGAATGGTATACTCGAAATATGTACAGAGCTGTCAAGTGTCCCGCGAATGGCGGGATTATCCCGCGAATTCGATCAAAATTAGGCTAATTCGCGTGTCCCGCGATGTCCCGCGAAGTCCCGCAAATGTGGCTTTCGACCTCCGCGAATTTCCGAAATTGTTGCAATCCCCTATATGGTGATTATCTTATCTTATATAAGAAGCTAAGTTTACCTAATTTTAAGGACCTAGCATGCTGTTGTTTGGTATCAAAATAAAGAGGAAGGGTTCAACTTTCATTTTAATTACGACAATAGGGATGTAGGTCACAAATAGTTTCAACGTTGGCCTTTTTACTATCCGTGTGGCCTTCATCTCGGAACTGAGCAAATGTTAGCAAACGCGAGTTACAATAAATGGACGCTGATATCTAGAAAGGGTTTGTAGAAAAAACCGGGTACCGGGTAGTAAATCCTCCATGCTGGGTTCAAACTTGGTACCCGGTACCCGGTCAAAAAACGGGTACCCAAAAAACGAAAAATACGAATATACGAGTATAACATAATTAGATTATCAGAAAACGTGTAAGATTTGTTTTGAATTTACAAAAATGTATGTAACATCCTTCAAAATTGAGCTAGAAGCTTCAAATAAAAAGCATATTTTAAGGCTCTTTTCTTCCTCTATCGTCATGACCATATTTTCATTGGTTATGTTCACGTACCAACATACGAACTATTGAAAATAGAGTAAAATTGATTTGTCTTGTTATTCAAATCGTCTTACAATGTCATTGGCGTAGCCAGGAGAGGGTGTGATGGTGCGATCGCACCCCCCCCCCTCCCCCTTCATTACCAATGGAAATATGACCATGATGATTGAGGAAGAAAAGAGGCTTAAAATGCTTTTTATTTGAAGCGTCTAGCTCAATTTTGAAGGAAGTTACATTTTTGTAAATTCAAAACAAATCTCACACGTTTTCTAATGATCTAATTATGTTGTATATTCGTATATTTCGTTCCCGGGATTTCGTTCTTTGGGTACCCGGTTTTTTCGACCGGGTACCAAGTTTGAACCCAGCATGGAGGATTTACTACCCGGTACCCGTTTTTTTCTACAAACCCTATCTAGAAAAGTAACCTCATTCCCTATAATTTGATGTAGATTAATCGAACCCCTATCATGGGCTTTCAATTGAAAGCCCATGCCTACAGTATGGTAGTAGTTGGTCACGACGCCAGAAGCAGAGAAGTGCAAAGTATTGTTCCAAATTTTTGAATTTCGTGTTAGATTACGATACTCACACCTGAAGCATGGTTTTTGTTTTGATAAATTACAATAAAGTTTAATAAAATTTCTATGCGTATTTTGTGAAATTATGTTGACGTTTATTTAAGTTACAATGTAACGG